TATAAGGAACTCTGCATGATTTGTAACCAAACTTATATATCCTCCTATGTTTGCTCTACCTATATTTAGCAAACTAAGCTTCTATCATTGAAAACAAAATTTAATGATAAATCATTGACTTGTAGTCCCAAAACTACAACTCTCTCTCACTTTTATGGGCCCCAAAAGCCTTAGAAGACTTCCCACTCTTAGCTTTAAAACTTTGAGTTGTCCACCCTCACCTAATTGTCCTCTAATCAAATAGGTAACTTCCACTTAGACCCTACACTTTAAGTAGCCCTTCACTTAACAAAACAAGTGATCTCCTCTCATGACATTTAAAGCATAACCTTTAAATGTCCTTTAGAAGTCTCCATCTATTGAAGTTCACCTTATCATATTAGGTGAATTTCACAAAGCTCTAAGATAAACCCTTGGGCATGCCTGCCTTACTCTATTAGGTAGACACTCCTCTCATATCCAAATATTAAGAGAACCTCAAAATTATTAAAAAAAACACCTAGGTCTCTTTGATTTAATGATAAATCATCCCACTCGATAGGTGAGATGCTTACATCATTAAATCTTAAGATTCCATAAGTAGCAGACTTGCCTCAAAGCAAGTAGTGATTGCTTTATGGGTTTTTATCACTCTTTTAAATATGAAACAAATAAAAATTAAATAAAATCTTTAAATCATAAACAACTTAAAGTGAAATTACCCATGAATTAAAATTAAACATATTATATTCCTTAATAAAATAAGACACCACTTGTAGTGTGACATACTACATACCCAACACATACTTAGGTGCACAACTCTTAGGCATGTTATGATTAGGATTTTTTTTCTACATGTGGTTGATATTGTGGTGTGATGCTATTGGATTGTCTGCATTGTGGGCACTTGCCCTTAAGTTGATTGGATAAATGCATATTTGCTTCTTTTGCAGGTGGCCATGTCCAAGAAGGGGTGCAATAAGTCATGATTATTCTAATAATGTTGCTTGCAGACGCTGCTTATAATCTCCCAAGGAGGCATGACCAATAAAATAGAATCAGGGCTTGACACTTTTAAGTGCTGGGCATGGTTTAAAATTGCGCAATATGAGGCTCACCTTTGCGCAATTCCAGTAAAAACGCCTCGATGCTTACGCCTCAAGTCTTTTTTATGAGGCTTGCGCCTCAACTTGGTTGAGGCCCGCCTCGCCTCACTGGCATGAGGCTTACGCCTCATGCTATATATATTAAAACTCACATAAATCTTGAAGTAAATGCCCGACATTGGACTCTATAGGAGAGGAGGAAGGGGAGAGAGCCATTCATCATAATGATGATTCAAATGAAGAACCCCTAAGTGATGACAGTGCTGATGACTTATGAGTTCTTATGTGATATGTCATTGCTATTTATTTTTGGAAATTGGAATTATGTGTTAATGAAATGATTACTGGGATTTGGAAAAGATAGAATTTGAGTTGAACTACATTTCATGTTGTCTTATTATTGGGATATTTTGATTTCACTTCATATCTTATGCTTTTTTATGTTTTATATTATTCACTCATTAGTATATAAACAAATTATCATTTTATATTTACGCAATCTTTTGATTTTGAGGCTTACGCCTCAAAACGCCTTGAGGCTTACGCCTCGCCTCATGAATGAAAAACGCCTCAATACCCGAATACGCAATTTTAAACATTGGTGCTGGGCAATTCTTTGTTTATTGTTTTGCCATATAAACCGCTCCTAATCATTTTCCTATTTTGCATACTCGAGTTTTTTTTGCATTTTAAAAATGTATTTTTTAGACTTAGGATATGTATTTAAGCATTTGTGATATAGTTATATCAAAGGTGGATTAAAAGGATAAGACTACCATAGGTGAAGCCCAAGACCCACCTAGAAGCCAAAGCTTAGAGACACCATAAGCTGAGTATGTAATAATTTGACTGGGTTGTATAATGTCAGAAAATTTAGCTGCCAACAATGGTTGTAATAATTTGACATTTATAATTTACATTTCTATTTTTTTATTGATTGTATATATATATAAGAGCATATTTTGATTGTTTACTGAGTGCGCATTAGAAATGATTATTTTTTTCCTATGTTTCTTCATTTGCTTTTGTTTGGAGGTGGCCTGAACTTTTGTTATGTGGTAGGCTCTTAGGATAAAACTAGTTTTTCTACCCATTAAAATATAAGCAATTTAAAATCAATCATATGATTCACCAATTTTCAAATAAAAGAAAAATTTACATGTCTCCTTCCAAGGAGCCAAGTTTTCAAAGTTAAAATGATCATGCATGGCCAGTGTGCCACAAGTAAAAAGCTGTCACTTAAGTTTCAGATAACAAAAATCTACATTTCAGTGAGTCAGTATATGTATATGCCCCACATGGTCAAACATCTTGGACTAAAAGCTAAGTTGTAAGTTCTATCTTCTAAATTAAAATAATGTTCCCTAGTTTTCATATGCGTATTGAGATCGGGCTATATAGTTTTAAAAGCGGTTAGGTGGGTTTAAGTGGTAGCCCTTTCCAGACCAGGATTTAAATCCAGATGTCGGGCTAACTAGGCCTCATGTGAGGTGTAGTTTGTAAGTCCCTTGCACCCCGTTAGACATATGTTCGAGGCACTATCCCTTAGTAGTCATTACCTTAGTTCTAGGATTTGAGGCCATTGTTGAGTTTAGTCACTTCATAAGCTCTCACTTTTCGGGTATTTTTTTCAACATGTGTTGTTGGAATGTAAGTCTCAACATTCTAAATCAAATTGGTTAACTTGAACAAAAAAATCAATTTTAAAATGTAAAATCCAACATAGAATAGTTTGAGTACCTCTGAGTTTTCTCACAAGTCATAATCAAGTACTCTTATATTTCATTCTTTTGGCTTCTATTCTAAATTCTGATTTTAAGTTGATCATATCTCCCTTGAAATTTTCAAAGGCCAAAATTTTGAACAAAAATTTCACAAATTTCATAATGATATTCGCTAATATTTTGATGACTTAAAATGAAACCATTAGTTTAATCAAAAGTGTTCTCAAGTAACAAATGCTTGAGATGTAATTAATCATAGGGGTTGCTCTTTTGGGGCATCTATACCCCATAATAAAACAATCCCTATTCAACCAAATATTGAATAGGGAAAAATCTTTCTTAAAATTAAAATTGTGAGTTTTGTTATTGATTCCATAGCAAAATAATATTTTTGTTCTTCCGGATAATATATTATTTTCTATGCCGTGCTTGATCATAAAATATATCAATCCGTTGAGGATGACAAAATTTCTCCAACAACAAATACCTAACTTCCTTTTGATATGCAAATGCAAATACCTAATGCAAATGGGTGGTGGATAAGAAACTTGTTGATTCAACAAAAAAAAAAATTGTTGATTCAAATGAGGATGGTTAGTTTCTCATTTTCTTAACTGTTACGGAATAAAATAGTGGTGGCTTTTGTCAGTTAATGAAATTTTTTGCAATAATATAGTCATAGTGGTCTATCCATGGGGCTAATGAGACTTGTAATTGAACTTAGCATGCATTGTGGTACTACTTGTCTCGGTGTTGAAACCTTTAAAAGTTAATAACCCCTCTCCTTGATTTTACACTTTTTCTTATCCTTCTTTGTCTGAATTAGAAATAATAATGCTAAGCATTTTATTAATCTAATCGATAAGAAAATTGCTAGATTGGTTTCTCTTTCTTTATGAAATAGACTTTTACAGGGTATTTGAATCCCTGGCTTCTCCTTTGGGTGTTAAAAAGAGTTTCCTTAGTCACTTTATTCGAAGTTGGAATACTCTTTTGATCATTAAAATAATGAAGAACAGGGAAGTAAAATGCCTTGTTTATTTTTAGTTGTTCGGGATCAGTAACCCTCGACCTGTCCTTTGAATGGCTATAGCAATTATCAATTGGTATTTTTCTAACGGTTGAAATATATGATTTTTTGTATATTAAAACATGAAAAACAGGGAAAAAATGCAGATAATTTTTTTTTAAACCCTAAAAAATTCAGATAAATGCCTCTTGCATTTTTTTTGGATATAGGGTTTTACTCAATTCCCCTAATGTAAAACTTAGACTTCATTTGGTAATGCATTCAAACTTAATTTCTTCGGGGTTGTTTGGTTTGATGAAAAAAATACAATGTAAAAGTAAAAGTAGTATATTGAAAATATTTTTGAGTTGTTTGGTTGAGTACATTATAAATGTAGGAGTTTATTTTGTTTGGTTTGGTTTGAAGTGAAGCATTGCAAAGTAAAATAGCAGTTCATTTGGAAAAATAGTTGATAGAGGTGGCACAATGAGGCTAGTGGCCGAAGATGGGTGGCGGTGGTGTCGATGATGACTGTAGTTGGCGTGACTGTGTTGGGTGGTGTCTGACGGTGGAGGTCAACTAGCAACTGTAGTTGAAGGTCAACCATCATTTGTACCTATGCCATGTATTTGGGATTCACTCAAAATAACCGAAGTCTAAATACACTTAAATGAACGGGAGAGTAAATTTCAATTACAGTCGGAGAATGCTTTGCATTTGAAATGCAGCCATCTAAATGCCCAAATTTTAAACATTCCTGCATGCACTTTACACTCAAAATTCCTGCATTTACTTTACTATTTTGATTTGTGTGAGGAAAAGCACAATGAAAATATCTACCCTATGCATACAGCCCTCCAGGACCTCACAATCATAGCAAATGCACTTGAGGAACTGTTGTCCATCTTAATTAAACATAGGGGCGATTGTATTCCATACGCCTCAACACAAATAACATTGATGCCTTAGTGCTTGTATTTAGAACTTTTAATCTTTTTTTTTTTTTCCTATAGTACATTCTTCTAGCACGAATGAACTGGTACATCTAGTTAGAAATACACGACTTAAATCACTGTTTTCCGTATGACCCTTTGTGATGTATTCTATTTCAGCCATTGGGCATATAGATTTATCCTTATAATTGTTTACAATGTCATCCTATAATATTTTATTAACATGCAGGAGGAGATTGCCAAAGAATTGGGTATTCCAGTTCAATTTCAGCGATTTTGGCTGTGGGCCAAGAGGCAAAACCATACATACCGCCCTAATAGACCATTAACTCCCATAGAGGAAGCGCAGCCTGTAAGCAATTTTTACATAATTCTACTGAAGCAGTTATTAGTTCAATTGTTTAAGCCAAATTTTACAATGAGGAGCAATTTACCTGTGCACATCAATTCACTCATGTACGTCTGATGCCAAATCACAACTCCCCTCAAAAAAATAAAGACGAATCTAAGAGGAAGATGAATTGTTTGAATCACGCTCCAGTGCTCCATTATAGTTTTTCATAAACTATGGGAGAAATTGACCTTTAAATACTACTTCATATATTATAATTCTCTCCTGCCAATTGCAGAATGCAGATAATGTGTTCCTATCTTTTGTCTCCAGTTTTTTTGGTCTATCCCAAAGAATTAGGATAAGGTTAATGAATATAATGATGATATCAGAAGGTTTTTGGTCACGTGTAATCTGTTATCTATTCATAATTATGTCTACTATTTGATTAAAGTTCTGCTAAGCTAATATGCTTGCTTGATTGATATATGCTAAGCTAACAACAACAACAACATCAAGCCTTTATCCCACTACGTGGGGTCGGCTACATGAATCATTTATCTCCATTGTGTCCCATTAAAAGTCAAATTCTCATTTAAATCAATAAAGAAAGATCATTCTAATATGCTGAGCTAACATGAAACTTTTTTTTTTTTGGTTTTCAGCTAGAAGTGACATTTTGTCTAACGACTCACATCTTCATGTAGGTTGGACAACTTAGAGAGGTGTCAAATAAAACTAACAATGCTGAGCTAAAGCTATTCTTGGAAGTAGAGCTTATAGTAAGTAAACATTCCATCAAATAGCACCAAGTTATAGCATAATACTCTTGCATACTTAAAATTTCTCCTGCTTCCATATGAAATTCATGTGTGAGTCTGTGGGAGTGCGTGCATGAGTCTTGTGTGTATGTATGCATATGAGCATGCTTGTGCGCTCATGCAGTTGCACATATCTATGTATGTGTTTTGATTCTCAGTTTTTCCTTTGTTTTGGTTTTTCTTATTTAGGATTCCATTCCTATCCCTCCAGTTGACAAAACGAAGGAAGACATACTGCTTTTTTTTAAGCTTTATGATCCTTTTAAGGAAGAGCTAAGGTGCTTGTGTATTTGTTTTTGCATCTGATATTGTGATAAAATTTATATATGTTTTCCGATTCACCGTTGCTCGTTTATGAAGGTATGCCGGAAGGCTATTTGTTAAGGCACTTGAGAAGCCTATAGATATACTAACAAAACTTAATGAAATGGCTGGTTTTTTACCTAATGAGGAAATTGTACTATATGAGGTTAGCCTATCATTGAATTGAGTACATCTATCGTGTGTGCTTACCTTTTAATATGCATTTGTTTACATTTAAATGCGGCTCAATTTGTTCAGGAAATCAAGTTTGAACCAAACGTTATGTGTGAAAACATTGACAAGAGGGCCAGTTTTAGAACCAGCCAGGTTAAATATTTGAAAATGCTTTCCGTTCAGATATTTATTTCAGTAAACTGCTGACTAATTTGTTTGATATGACTTTTTAACAGCTTGAAGATGGAGATATCATTTGTTATCAGAAAAGTCCTGTTCCTGACAGTAATGATCAGTTTCGCCACCCTGATATTCCTTCATTTTTGGAATACGTTCACAATCGGCAGGTCTAGTTGGAAGCAATTTTACTTGCACCAGATGCTTGTCTAAAAAAGTTCATCCTTTTTTTTTCCCCAATTTTTGATCTGTTGAGTGTTATCCATCTTATAGATGTTAGCTTAAAGGCACAACTGGGGGTTAACATGGGTAGCACTGTATCACACTTGATGATAGTAGCATCCATTCTTGCAATCAAATAAAACAATCTACAAGTGTCCTACGCTATTTATGTATGGCGAAAAGTCTGTGGACACTATTAAGCTCAAATATCATTAATCTACTTAACCACACAAGCTTGTAAGTTACTGAAATCATCAAACACCTAGAGACACAAATGTGCAAGTGTACATAAAACAATTACAAAGACAATACCGTATGTTGGAGTACTAAAGCTCTGAGCACAGGTGATATATAGTATACTCGGAACAAGAATATAGGCATCTTCAAGCATAGATCAACAGAATAACATGTAAATCAATAAAATAAGCAAGTTATTGAACAATAATGATAATCTAACCATAGAGGAAAGGACGTCATAATATTTATATGATTTGGCATCAATTGACTTATCCATTCCTAAGCATTTCTCGCTTAAGATTCGGCTAACTCTCTACTTCATTCCCTTGATTGTTCAAGAAATTGTTGCACCTTCTTCCTTTAAACTAATAAACACCCACTTCTTAATCTGACAATACTATCAACATGCTTTTCCAAAGATAATTCCTATTACAAAGTTTTGTACCTTCCTAAGGCTTTTAAGACTTTGGTGGTGAGTTAAAGCAATTACTAGGAAAATTACATGATATCTACACTTTATTGCACAAAATACAAGGTGAAATAGAATACACAATAATGAAGAGAGATTACCCAATTGAAGCTTTAAGGATTTGCTTAAGAGAAACACATTGATTTTCACCAATATTTCTTCTCAACATGATAAGGCAAAGTAAGCTCTCACAGGAAATATTATTTTAGGAAATTATTTTAAATCTAATTAGTCGAGTATATTTATTTTGTTATACCTTTGTTTAATGTATTAATCTTTTTTATTATGTATGGATAGGCCTTCTATGAATAAGATATATAATTCCCCCTCTGACATGGTATAAGAGCATGATTAACCTTAACTTCAGTTGCTAAATGAATGTCTTCATCGCTACTTTCACTCTTGTTTCCAATCCTTGCCTTTGCTTCTTTCACTCGTTCTCCAACACCCACTCTATTGGTTTGCATCCTTGCTTGCTTGCATGTGATTCGTTTCTCACACATGTAGCCTACTTGTGATCGAACAACTGCATTCTAGTGCTCGCTTGTATTCTAGTGCCCCATCGCATTCTAATGCCCCTCATGATCCATCACCCCTTATGATCTAGTTTTTTCTTGCATTCTAGTCCACTCATTCTGGTGTATGCATTCCAGTATTTGCTCGCAATCTCCATGCACTCGATCCAATATTTTTATTTAGAGATTTTTACATACATAACACTTCAAACTATTAAAAATACATATTCAACACCCAAAGTATTATATTTACTAATATACCACATAAAATCCCTCTTTTCATCAATTATAACCCTCAGTTTAAGCTCTGTCAGAATCCTTATCTGCCTTTTGTTTGTTCGCACGAAGGATCGTATCGTCTTCCTCATCCAGACCCGTCGCCTGTTCCATCAGATTTCTCACGCCTTAAAGGAACCGATGAAGGAACCAATGAAGATAATGAAGCAGAATTTTTTACTGTTGTCCAGTTAAAGGAACCGATGAAGATAATGAAGCAGAATTTTTTAGCATGCTTAATAGCATCTACATTTGGGCGAGAATTAATTAAATTCTTTTCAAAAATACGGAACTCAAACCATTACAAGCAAAATCATTTATGGGAATGGTTGCTTCCAATTTTAGAAGCAAAATCATTTCACTGCAAATCATTCCAAAATTACAGAACGCAAAGCATTCCAAATATGCCAGTAGTAAAAAAGACAGAACTCAAAGCATTAGAAATCTGCTAGTACTCAAAGCATTCCACAAAATCCGCTAGCATTACAAAAAAAATATTTGCATCATAAATCCGCTAGTACTCAAAGCAGCCCTGATGTAGGCAAAGGGGGGTCAACTCAAACCCAAAATAAGTTGGATTTGACTTCCCTTGAGCTTACAAGCTCAATCAATTTGAGCTTGAATTTAGCTCATTTATGAGCTGATTTTTAGTTCATTTATTGAACTAAGGGTTAGCTCATTATTAGCTAAGTTTTAGTTCATAGTTATCTTTTATTTAATGTACTTTTTATTATAGTTTTTAATATCTTCATTTAAGTTGTCTCTTGGGTTTCCAAAAGGGCTTTTGGAATCCCAAGAAGTTGTTTGGTTTTCCCATGTGTGGCTCCTTGGCTTCCACCATGGGCTTTAGTTTTTTTATGCCTTTTTCCCCTTGGAATTCCGGCCGGCTGCTGGTTTTCCGAGCCTGGGATGTTTCCCGTGGCTGTGGCGCCTTGGTTCCGTGCAGCCTCCTTGTCCCCCGCGGCTGCTCCTTCGGTTCCTGGGCTTGGGCGGTTTTCCGTGATTAGCATGGGGGGATTTCCATGCTTGTGATGTTTAGGTTCTTGTGAAAATTAATGTTGTGTGTCCTTTTGTATTCCCCTTTCATACCTATATATATGAGGGGCTTGTAATGTTTTAAAGAAGTGAATGTTATGTGATTTTTTGAATCTAACCTGCGGGTTATTGGAAAAGCTTGCAAGCTTTGTCCGTCTTCTTTCTCATCCCCTCCGGAAATCTTGCGAGCTCTTTCCAACCTTTCGTCTCGGCTTCTTATCTCTTTCGTCTCTCCGCAAGTGCCACTCCATCTGTATCTTTCATCTCTAAGTAAAGCAACTTTAGGGTGTCTTTGATTTCGAGTCAAAAGTTGTAATCCGTTGTCGCTTGTAGTGTTTTTTAAAATTTCTTCTTTTTAGTTTAATTTAAAATGTAAGAGTTTGTTCTTCCTTATCTTAGTCGCATCTTTTGTGATTTAGTGGTCGTCGGTTAAAGGATCAATCATTCGTGTGGGCGAGGGGTATAGGCTCCCTATATTTCTTGCCCCCACCAAGCCCACAAAAAAATGGAAGCATTCCAGAAATCTGGTAGCAATTGCGGAGGACTGTTCGATTTGTTTCGATCGTGTAAGATAGGCGGTGGAATGCGAAGAATGCGATGGATAAGGCAGAGACGGAGAAGACAGTCCTTGCTCGAATGGAAGATAGTCGCGCGTCGGCGCACGAGAAATTTGATAGAGCAGGAGACGGGTTTGGACGGGGAAGATGATCCTTCCGCGAACAAACGGAAGGCGGATAGGGATTTTGACGGAGCTTAAATAGAGGGTTAGAATTGATGGAAAAGGGGGTTCTAGTTCATCATTAAAATTATCATTTTAGTGAATTGCTTTCTCTTTTCTCTCATTCTCAATTTTGTCCACATCATCTAGTATTTCTCATCTTCAATATCAACTGTCTTCTTTTCCATCATTGGTGGTGCAATAGTATTAGTATGAGACTATGTGTGCAAGCTGTTATGACTCGGCTCGAAGATTCAAAGAACCAGGCAGAAACACTGTTGGACGATTGATATAGTTTTTCAATAATATAAAACACTTAACAAACTAATATATAACATATAACTGAAAAGCCATTAAAACAAATTTTTCTATTTGAACATGTAATAAACTAATTTACCTGTTATCATTTGATCCTCTTCTTTTGTAGTAAAACACTTTTTTTAGCCATTTAATTCACATGAGATTTACCTGACATTTCAATTTAAAATTTTAAGAATATAACAATTAAACATACGTAAAAGCAGTTGTGTTCCTTTGTTGATCTTTTTCCCTTAACATATATATAAATATTTTATATAAATGTAGATTCCCATTTATATTCCCTTTCAATTATCTTTATTCATTTATTTCTTTCCTTTTTTCATTTATTACAGAAGCACTGTCAAAATTTTGTACTAATGAAGGTACAATCATTTCTTTTTAACGTGAATGGGTTCATTGCATCCCCAACCAATACCATAAGAGGGCGAGCTCTTGTATTTGCATGCATGCACCTTTTCCTTCTTTTAATTCTTTCATTTGTATGTTATGAATTATTTTATTCACTTCATTTTCCTTTGCATGTCTTTTAATCGATATATGCACTTTCATGCACACTCACACACATACACGCACGTGTGTGTGTGTGTGTATATATATATATATATATATTCACACTGAAATTTCATAATTATACTTTCATTAATTTCATTTAATTCATTATCTACAATTTAAAACCTTATCTAAATTTCCTCATGAATCTTTGTTTGGTTCTAGTGCTTTATTGTAGTTCAACAATTAAATTTTCTTCCTTGTCCAAAATAACTTTATTGCATTACATTTTATTAGCTTCAAATCTTGAGATTTCAAACATTGTTAAAGTAACATTGGATGGTATAAAATGTCTAAAAAATAATATCAAATACATCAAAATATTGTTAAAATACAGTTAAAATAAGATTTATAAAGTTCATATTTCTTACTGTAAATTCCCTTATTCCTCATTAAAACAAAACTTTCATGAATTGGATTTTTCCTATTAATAATCAAATATCTCCTCTCTTCTTTCTTCTCTTTGTCTTGCCTCCATTCGATCACAACCTCTTTCAGTCACATGGTTCCATTGGAGCGAGTGAATCAGAGTTATCTCGCACGAGTGGTCATAGTTTTTCGCATACGATCCGACTGTTTCTCTCGCTTACACGCTTCGTCCACTTGTCCGCTTGCTCGACTTCGCCCGCTCACATGTCTGTGTTCGCCTCTGCCCGCACTTGCTAGAGAAAGGGCCGGTTCGATTGAACCGGTCTAGCCAGTTCTTACACAAGCAACATTGGGTGTGAGTATAACATGCTGCTTGGAGTCGAGGAGATTTTGTTCGATTTTCGATTATGTTTGTTTTAGATTTAGGTGTTTGAGAAATAGCAAAATATGATTTAATTT